TGACACTTAAAAGTGTGTTTAAAACCAGTTTTCCCTGTCCCAGATGTGGAACCAGAGCTCTGCTGCATCTTCAGCTGCTGACTCCTATTTTTTCCCCAGTTATTTGTCTTCCATGGGACAAATGGAAGACAAATAATGGGGAAAAATTTCCCCCCTTAAGTAGGAAATGAAAACATTTAATTTTTCCATGCAAAGGATCAGCCTGGCTCTGCCACTTCAGCTGAGAGAAGCCTTTGTGCTTCAGCAAATAGCCTCTCTCAAAATATAAATTAAAATATAAATTAAAACAAACTGCATTTAAATATAAATTGAAACAAACTGCATTTATCAGTGGTGTTAATCCTGTGAAGCAAACTGAGCTAAAATCATGACTCCAACAATCCAGGTGCTAAATCTCCCCCCAGGGATGAGATTCCCATTCTCCTCTCAATTAGGAAAATTAACAGCGCCGTGACAAATACCATTATTTACCCAAAGCGATGGAAATCATTATGTAATTATTTTATTTTCATTTTTCCTCAGCTCCCAGAGGCCATAAAGCACAAAAATGCCCTGATTTATTCAGGGTGCTGGAAGTGCTGTGCTCGGTGTCAGCGGGCAGGAGGGCAGTGGGAGCTGGAAAAATGCAATCAGGTCACACTCAATAATCACAGGGCTTTTAGGTGGTGTCTTTTAAGCCACACACACACACACAAAAAAAGAGAAAAAAAGGTGAAATGACACCATCAGCAGTGTCAGGGAAGGAGGGAAAGCACCCAACAGGTCCTGCACTGAATCATCCCAGGGAGGGGCTGGGGGCCAGGGTTGACACATCTTATTTATTTTTATGAGATGGGAGTGAATCACTTGCTGCCATCCCGTGTCCAAAAGAGCCCTTGAATGATAGGTGTGGTTTAATTCAAAGAATATTTTTTTAAAGCATATCCCACAAAGCAAAGCAGATATGAGGCTGTGCTGAAGATAAGGCAGGACATGTGTTCAAACCATCAGCACCCAGCCCTCCTCTCTGCCTGAGAGGAAAAACACCAATAATAAAGATAATTACACGGCTTTTTTCAAGGTATGGCAGTTAAAACACAGCATTCTGCATTGCCATGGGTGTTTTGGGCTATTTATGAGTGAAACTGGAAATTTCAGCACCTAACACCAAGTTACACCTGCGAGGAGTTCAGATGGAAACAAGCACAAACTGAATTTCCTGAAGACTTTGAGGTACAATTCACTGCCCATTTCATTTTCATTTTCACAAATCTTTCCTCACTGGAGTTTGAAAAGAGAAAGCTCTGCAGTGGTAATCCTTGGGCAGAAGAAAAAGATCCATTCTCACATCAAAGCCCTAAATAACACATTTTCCAACCCCCAAAATGCCATTTGATTTTTCTTCTTTTAATGCAGAAATCAGAAGGAACAGACATTAATTATGAAGCACATCCTGTATGCCAACAAAATCAGCTTTTTCTAGCAAAACTGAGAAGGTGCTGAGGAATGACCACTTTGCAGCCAATTCCACTTCCAGTGAACTCCCAGTTTAGTCAAAGCCTGACACTAAATTTCCTGTGATGAAGGGCAAGGACTTCTTGTGCCAAAGGAAGAAGCACTGTTGTTCAAATTAAGGAGCTGATGACTCCTAAAAACAAACAAATAAATACAAAAACCAAGTTTTCAGAGTTTGGGGAGTGAGGTGCGCACAAAAGTTTATCAAGACTGTAAACTACAGGAATTAATTGAGAAATATGAAGAGAGAAGAGGTTGGGTGTGAAGAACAGGTATCATTCTTGAAATAAATTTCTAACACGAGAAGCAATTCAAATGGAATATATGCTAACAAGGAGTTGTGTGGAAATCTTACACCAGCATTCAACCCACAAGTCACGGCATGCCAAAACTACAAATTCCAGAGAAATACTGACCAAAACCCCCAATGTTAAACTGCAGAAGGAACTTTCCTTGTGATCCTACGAATCCCAGATTTGTTGAGTTTATCACCACTGAAAGAAACAGCACACGGAAGCAAAAGGCAACAAGTTCCTGAGTGACAAAAATCTCCTCCCCTTTCCCCTTTTTCCAGTAATTGTGCATTTCCTGCCTGCTCAATTTTAGGAGCAGAGGATGCAAACACATCCCAAGTTCACAATTCCCAATTTGCCATCAGGTACAGCTGCCTAGAACATCCCAAGTTCCCAATTTCCAATTTCCAATTTGCCATCAGGTAGAACTGCCTAGAACATCCCAAATTCCCAATTCCCAATTTGCCATCAGGTACAGCTGCTTAGAACATCTCAGAGCTTTTCCCAGTTTGCCATCAGGCAGGGTTGCCCAGAACATCCCAAATTCCCAATTTGCCATCAGGTACAGCTGCCTAGAACATCCCAAATTCCCAATTCCCAATTTGCCATCAGATAGGGCTGTCTAGAACATCCCAAATTCCCAATTCCCAATTTGCCATCACGTAGAGCTGCCTAGAACATCTCAGGGCTTTTCCCAGTTTGCCATCAGGTAGAGCTGTCTAAAATATCCCAAATTCCCAATTTGCCATCAGGTAGAGCTGTCTAGAACATCCCAAGTCCCCATTTCTCAATTTGCCATCAAGTAGGGCTGCCTAGAACATCCCAAATTCACAATTGCCAATTCCCAATCAGGCAGAGCTGAGCAGACAGAGCTTGCTCCATGAATTCCTGTCCAGCACATGCAGGGATTTATGAATGCTGCTCCCAAATGAAATTCTGAAGGAATTTCTGGAATCAGAGCCCTGAAATGTCCTCAAACACTCTGGGGAGCGGGAAAATTCAAGAGGTGTCTGCGAGGACAAGCAGAGAGTGTTGGGGTGGGTTTGGGGACACCTGAGGGGGGACAAAGCCCTTCCTGTGAGGTGTGACATGTCCCTGCCACAACAGGGGACAAAGGAATGCTGCTGGAACAGGAGAAGTGCCCAGAGAGGGAAAGTTTGCTCAATTACACTACAAAAACAAACAATATCACAAAGTCAACGGGAATTGATAAATTCCTATCAGAGCAGCCAGAGCAGTGGGGATGTGAGGAACCTTTCTGAAAATCATGAGAGCAAATAGCAACTTTTATCACAATTATGAAATGCAAGGACAATGTTTTGCCAAGGTCAGAGAAAAAAAGGTTTGTATTGTTCGACTCCTGCCAATGAGGATTGCACTTTGCTCCTAAAAATCAGCCTTTAAACAAAATAACAAACAAAAATATGCATTGAAACAACAAATGCCACCTATCAATAATTAGGTCAAAAAAAAGAGGATTCATCTTTCACATTGCAGCCTACAAATAATTAATATGGCATATTATTAGAGGAAAATTATCCTTATTTTCAGAGACAATCAATACCTTCCTCAGGAATCTCGAGCTCCTCACACCTACAGCCCCCTAAACCAGGCCATGTACTGCCAGCGAAATAAAAGGGATTTTTCCCCCCAAGCCCCTCACTTTTGCCAGTGAAATAAAAGGAATTTTCCCCCCCAAACCCCTCACTTTTGCCAGTAAAATAAAAGGGATTTTTTCCCCCAAACCCCTCACTTTTTGATGCCCGTACAGTACTACCAATCAAATATCCTGCAATGATATTCACAATAAAAACCAACACCATGAGGAATTTCTGAGGAATGTCACTGAGGGGAGAGAGGATCAAAACTCTGCTGAATTAACCTCCTTTTCCTGCACTAAGATAGAAGGAAAAGGAAACTCTCCACTCAGTCATTCAACCAAACTCTGATTTCAGCTCTTCAGACACTTCCTATGCACAGCAACAAAACACAATTGAGTTTTGTTGTTAAAACAGGAGGTTTTTTGCTGTTTCCTGCACTTCAGACACATTGAGAGAGTAAACAAAACAAAAACATTTGGACCTGCTTCTCTGGGCTTCACTGGGTCTCATTGGTTTTTGACTTCACAATCAAGAGTGCAAATATAATCAGAGAAAATTAAAACTGCTTCAGACTTCCCTTTCTGACCTATTTTTCTGAGAAAAAAGGGTTCTGTCACTGCACTGGTGCCTTCTTCTGGGAAAACCTTACAGTCCCTGCTTCCACCCTGTAAATCCTCCAGGATTTTGGGAACCAGTTCACCCCAGTAGTGGCTGATAGAGAAAATGGGGTAAGGGACTGCTTCACCCAGGGAAAAATGAGGGAAAATTCAGCTCCCACTTTTGGGGATAAATTTTACCAATCCTACAACAAAATCCTGCCAGGAATCCTCTCTGCCCCCATTGCCCCAGACACAGCCTCAGGACAAGAGCCAGCAGGGGATGGAATGTTAGGATGGAGGAGAGAGAAGGAATTATATTTGTTGGGATAGGACTGTGATCCCAGAGCAGAAATCCCAGGATTCACTTCACTGTTAATGAATATTCCAGGATAATTATGGATCTAGATATTCTCTAATCAAGAATATAAGAGTTAAGATGATTTCTGGGACAAGCCCAGAAAAGTAGAGAGAAAGATAAGATGGGAACTGTGGGACAGAGCATTTTTTTCCTGCTGAAGGCTGGGTTTTGTTCAGCTCTTGGGGAAAAAATGACTTTCACGTTTCTCCATCTTTGCTGCAGCACGAGAACTCGAGAACATGGGGGCTGTTAATGGGTACATGCTATTTTTCCCTGCCCAGTTAATAATGCCTGCGCTGCTGACACGGGCTGGGAGTCAAAGGTAACACCCCCAACCACCAAACATGGGATTAATCCCATTCCCTCCACGCAACAACTCCCGAACACAATTTGGAAATGACAAGCGCTTGATGAAGTGACCCGACACCATTCAAAAACCAGACTTCCAAAACGGTGCTCGAGCAGTTCTTGTGGCCCAAGAAGTGAACTTTAAAAGGGATTTCTGCTGATTTTTAAATCCTTCAGGTAATGGGGGTGGGGAGTTACTCAGGGAAATGCAGGATCAGCAAAGTCACCACCTCTGTCCCCAGTTCAGCTCCAGGAACACTTGGCAGAGAAGACAAAGGAACGCGATGCCCACGTTCCACACGCTTACCTCCCATCCAAAGTTTGTTTCCTTTAATGTGCTCCTCTGCACTGCCACATAGGGTCCAAATCTTTCCCCAACTTCAATCTTCTTTTTGGCCCAAATCCCTAGCCCTGCCCCTGGGATCGAAGATTCTCTGAGTTCAAAATCTGGTGGGATTGGAATGTCATCAGGAATGTAGACGGGAGCTTCATAGGGTGAGCCCTCCTTGGGAGTGAAGTCCTCACTGGTGGGGAAGGGTGACGGAGGTCCCACAGGGATGGGGGACATTATACTGTCCTCAGTTTCCTCCTCTGCGCTTTCTCCAGCAAGGAGATCGGGGTCGGTCTCGTACATATTATTTACAATCTCGCTGTCACCTAAAAGGGGGAAACAGCAGAACAAAACACACTGAGATACTCACGTGAACATTGGTTCAAAGGCTTGGCTAAGCCGAGCTCAAATTCTGCTAAAGGATAAAAACCTCCCTTGAGGAGCTCAGTGGAGCTGAGGTAAGGGGCTGATCACCGTGGGGTGAGGCTCATTGCAGCCTGCTGGGTTCTATGGGATCAAGGGTCCTCTGATGTTTGCAGAGTGTTTGTCCCCTTCTTTCCAAAACCTCAGTTTTGAGAACAATATCTCTGCAAACATCAGAGGACCCCTGATCCCATAGATCCCAAAACCTCAGTTTTGGAAAGAAGGTGGAAAAAATACAGAAGGGGTGGTTGAGGTTCTCTTTGAACCCTTATTGCTTTAACTGGCTCAGTGTATTTTGTACAAGGGGTATGAAAATTTAAAAGAGGAATCATCAAAAGATTGGCCTTGGACACTTCCAGGGATCACAGCTTCTCTGGGCACCCTGTGCCAGAGCTTCTCCACCCTCCTAGAAAAGAATTCCTTGCTAATCTCTAATCCAGCCTTATTCTCTGTCACTTAAAAGCCAATTCCCACTTGCCCTGAAATGAAAACCCTGGGCACACAGAGAGAGGCAAAGTTTGGGGATTTTTCCAAGGGGAATCAATTTCTAAGCAAGGCCATTCATGTACTGAAATGAAAGCTCCATAATGAAAACGGAGCTTTCTCATCCAAAAATCAAAAAAATGGGTGGTGGTGGGGGAGTAAAACATGAAAGGGGGGAAAGAAAAACACAATTTGTCACCCAACAGAAGGAGCTGGGTTATTTTGGGGGCAGGTTTGCCCTGTCTCCAGCAGCCATGAGGCAGCAGGGCATGCTCAGCAGCTCCCACCACGATAACAAACCCAACAACCCAACAATCCAACAACTGCCAATTTGTGGGCGCTCCCGTTGGGCACAGCCAATGCCTGGCCACTGATGGCACCAGGGGTGGATTTGTCACCCACCAAAATGACATTTTGCACTGGCTCCAAGCTAGGAACCATCAGAAGAATAGCTGGAAAAGCACGGCTCCACTTGAGGTATTTATAATTCATCACTTTGCTAACCTCAGAATGCACCTTCTGTCGGCAAGACACATCTCCCCCTCTATTTCTATTTTATTTTTTTAATGCCTAATAAAGATTTTCCGGAGTTCATGCCTAAGAAACCTGGTGGCAGACTCGACTAAAGAGGAGGATTTTGATTCCTCTGCCAACGTTATTTTTTTTTGCTCCAGTTTTTGGAGGAGAACAGGGAGCTGCCTGCTGCAGCTGACATGGGTTTCCTCTGCTAGAAAGTGCAGCCCTCCCTACTCAAACATGTCACCAGAACCAAGCTTTCATGAGCATGAGATACTCCATCATCCTGAAAATATTTGTGGTTGCAGTAAATGTTTTCTCACCCAGTATTAGCAAGTCAAATTATTTTCTGCTCTATGATTAGCCTCTTTTGCACTTAAGGAACAGGAATTCCAACTGAGTTGAAGAGCAAAACTGGGCTTATTGGAGCACAACCTGTGAAAATTTCCAGAGGATACAAGTAAAGTATAAAGTACCTTACTACTGAACATGGTTAATTTAATTTATTCTATGGGACAAGCAGGGCAGTTCTGATTAAATTTTAATTAACAGCGAAGCTGATCCTTCCTCTGACTGACCTAATATTTCAAGAGGAATCATCAAAAGACAGGTAAAAGTGTTTTTTCAGTTGTTAAATGACCAGGGAATGACAATGAAACAACAATTTCAGGTCATGATAGGTCTGATACCAGAGGTTCCAGGTGGCATCTGTGGGAGCTGAATCCCAGATTGGGATTCAGATGTGGGAACGTTGGGTTCCTCAGCACAACCCAGTGCTGAGTTCAACAAATTGTACCCAGCACTGATTAATAGCCAGGGAAAATCCATGCTGTGCCCAAGCCTGGCCCTTTTTTTGTGCACTGAGAGACGGATTTCACAGAATCCCAGAATCACTGAGGTTGGAAAAGACCTCCAGGATCATCAAGTGCAAGCTGTGACTGATCCCACCTTGTCCCCAGTCCCCTGGCACATCCAGGCTTTCCTTGGACACCACCAGGGATGGGCACTCCAAACCTCCCTGGGCAGCCCCTGCCAAGGCCTGGGCACCTTTTCCATGGGGAAATTCTTGCTGATGTCCGGCCTGAGGTCATTTCTCCTTGTCCTGTCCCTATTCCCTGAAAGCCCAACCCCACCTGGCTGCAGCCTCCTGCCTTGGAACTATGGAGGAAAAAGGTCCCCCCTGAGCCTCCTTCTCTCCAGGTTGGTGAAGGAGCTGATCTCCTCCACAGGTTGTGTTTTTTCCAGGGATTTGGGACAAATCAAACAGCTCAGTTTTGATTATTCTGCATAATTTTCTAGAGTGTCCCTACTGAACCCCTTCATCCCTGCGGGGCTCCTCTCAGCTTTACCCCAAATATTCCACAGCTGGTTAAGTTAAAAAAATGCATTAAAAATTTTTTTAAAAAGAGCAGAGAACATCTGATTTTCCAGGAACAACCCCCAGCTCTCCTGAGCTCCATCCCAACTCAGCCCTGGAAAGCTGGACGTGGCCACTCCGCAGTGACAAACAGTAACAACCACTCTGTGCCACATCTGCTTTACCCCAAATATTCCACAATTGGTTAAATTAAAAAAGCACATTAAAAAACCCAAAAAACACCCCAAAAAAAGATCAGAAAACCTCTCCAGGAACAACCCCCAGGTCTCCTGAGCTCCATCCCAACTCAGCCCTGGAGAGGCGGACGTGGCTGCTCTGCGGTGACAGTGACAACCACCCTGTGCCACATCTGCTTTACCCCAAATATTCCACAACTGGTTAAGTTAAAAAAACACATTAAAAAAACCCCCAAAAAAACCCCAAAAAAGGGCAGAGAGCATCTCCGGGAACAACTCCCTGCTCTCCTGAGCTCCATCCCAACTCAGCCCCAGAGAGTCGGATGTGGCCACTCCGTGGTGACAAACAGTGACAACCACTCTGTGCCAAGTCTGCTTTACCCCAAATATTCCACAATTGGTTAAGTTTAAAAAACATATTTAAAATTTTTTTAAAAAGTTAAAAAAGAAGAGAACATCCCCAGGAATAACCCCCAGTTCTCCTGAGCTCCATCCCAACTCAGCCCTGGAGAGCCAGACGTGGCCGCTCTATGGTGACAAGCAGTGACAACCACTCTGTGCCACATCTGCCCCTCTGGAATGCCTGCCTGGGTGAAAAGCAGCACAGAAATACAACTTGACCTTATTGTTATTGTCATGAAACTAAAATTAGTCCCTGAAAGCTCCGCGGCGAAAGGAGTGGATAAAAAGGCTCATTGAAAGGTTGTTTCCACAGATAATCAGATATGGGCAGACGCTGAAAATCTGTGTGACACCAATGAGGGGCTGGCAACAAAGAGAGGGATGGTTTAGTGGTGCTGAGAGAGCTCATGAATAATCTATTTAGCAGCTGTAATGAAAGCAAAAGCGAGGCTGATGGTAAAGGAAATGGTGGTGGGGGAAATAATGAGTTGGGTTTTGGGGTGGGTTTGTTGTGTTTGGGGTTTAATATGTTTATTATTGTTTTTATTATCATTATTGTCATTATTCCTGCTTTAATTGTTGTTGTTGTTGTTAGATATCTGATTCTGCTGTGGAAATACCCAATTATCTGAAACGGTTGAGAGTTTTTTACACTCACAGATTGCAAAGAGCTTCTTTGACTTCTTCACTGGGAACATTTAAAGAACATCCCAAAAATTAATTGCAGTGCTGATCACCAGCACAACCTTGAGTTTCACTAACCTGGATAATTCAGCATTTGTATGAGACCCAGGTATTTTTATTTTCTTATCAAGGAGGAGAATGCCAGGCACCCTCTGAACTCACACTTTGCTCAGAACCTGGAGCCTCAGGCCCAAAGGAAATATCCAAGCAGAAGAGTAGAAAATACAAATATTCACAGAGAACTTCACAAATATTCACAAAGACCAACAGGTGCTTTTCCCTTAGGGATTAACTGGGTGTTGGAAGGGTTTTTACATCATTATCCAAATTTTGCAGCTCATTTCTATCGGAGTTTAAAATCACATGTGAGTATTAAAACATCAGTGCTGTCTAGAACTGCTAGTTAAGTGGTAATAATAATAATAATAATAGTAATAATAATAATAATAATAATAATAATAATAATAATAATAATAATAATAATAATATTGTCAGGAAAATATTCATTAGGCCAGGACTTCCCTGGGATTTGTTTCCATTTTCTGGCTCTATGGAAAGAGCAGTGGGGTGACCTCAGACATCTTTTCCAGTCCATAGAGGGACATCACCTCCACCTTTCCAGGTCCTTGGATGATCTATGATTTCCCTTTAGAAACATTCCTCAGGGAAGAAACCAAACCAAACCAAACCAAACCATTCCTGATATAATGCCTGGTGAGGAAGGGGTAAAATTTGAGCACTTTGAGCCATATCTTGAGGAGCACTGAGCAGCCTGGTCTAGTGGGAGCTCCTCACAGCAGTGGATTTGGAATTGGATAATTTTTAAGGTCACTCCAACCTAAGGAATTCCCTGATTCCATGATTCTTTATTTCACACCTCCAGTAAACAAAACCATCTACATTTCCAACTCTGGGGTGACAGGATTCTGTCTCCATTTCTATGGACTTAGACCAAAAATAAACTCATTTTTCTGACCCCTTTGTAGGCCAGAGGAGCTGGATCAGATCATCCAAACCCAGCCCTGATCAACCAAGAGGGAAATATTCCCATTAGTGATGTGCTTAGCTACTGCTGCCAGGGTTCATCACTTCAGGGTGTTGTTCTGCTCATCCCACCTGAATTCAGGTGAATTCTGAGCAATTCCTGCCCTCCATCCTGCCTTAATCCCCTGGGAATTCTCTCATCCCTCTGTGCCCTGCACAGGGCAGGAGCTGACAGCAGGCACAGCCCAGAGCTTGGCAAACACAGCCCTAAATCACAAAG